CCATCCATCCATCCATTTTGGCTCCTGTAATACAAATTTCTTGATGATTACAGTTACAGGCCAGACATTCGAGAGAATCTATTCCACCTGATACTATCAACCATCAGGACTATAGCTGACAGTAGACTCTAGAGGGCTTCTCTTCTCTTCTAGAGTGCATAACTCTCCATCAAGCTGAGAGAGAGAAAAACAGAGAGATGCCGGAGTAGAGGCTACCGCAGTACATACATGCAGTCGACTCAAACAAAGAAACTTTTACAATAAAGGATAAGAAAACGTTTTTTTGCTTTTTTTTTTTTTATCTATTTATATATTTTTTCTTTCTTTGATTTTCTTGTATTGATTTTCTGGTGGACAAAAAAATGGGCCCTCTTTTCTTATGCAAAAAAAACCAGTTTTGTTTTGGACTCAGTGCGAGGGGTCAATCTCGTAAAACCAAGAAGATTATTATTATTTTCATCAAGTATTTACTTTCACAAATATGAAAGTATAATATTTTATACAATCTGTTATATTACACATTTGACATGTACAAATATTGTCAATCATCATCAGAGAAGAGCTACTATAGCAGAATCTTGTATATCACATAATTCTATACATTATCTTTTACATTATAAGTATCTTACAATGAGAAATACATCAGATCTACTATGTATGGATTATTAATGATTATCAGTATGAAGAATTACCATTGTAAGGCTAGAAGAGATAACTAGCTAAAAAAATACAAGGCAAGTCTTTGTCCTTTGGTCTGTGTTAATGATTCCTGAACAAATAAGGAACATATAAATAAAGGATGATGTAGTAGTTACCGAGATGTGATATTTGCTGTCAAAGGTATACATGTACACCCATCTCGTAATGGCTGGCAACCGGGGTACGAAAATGAGCTCACCCAGTCATAAGTTCACAGTAAAAGATATAAAAGCACATCAAAATGCCTTTATAGAAGAAAAGTCTAGAGTCTGACCTTTTGTTTTGACGTGAATTTGTGCTCACAGGAAAAAAAACGGCATCCCAAATTGAGAATTTGCTGGGAATTTCCTTGAATTCCCAACAAATTCCCATCCAGTTCCCAGAGAGAACGAAATTGGGAACATGGCACTGATTCCCAATGTTAGTTTGTTGGGAATTTTGTTTTTCTATTGGGTATTAGAAGGAAATTCCCAACAATAAATCCCAACGTTGGTGTTCCCAATTTGGGAATCCGGGTTTATTTTTCCTGTGGCTATAAAATATCTACCTATACTTTGAATGTGCAACCTTGCAACATGACTGGGTCATGGTCTCATTTTTGTGTACTCGTCAGCCATTATGAAAACAGTGAATTGTGGGCAGCCATGAGAGCAAGGCAATTTTGGGCAAAATCAAAATAAACAAAACTTTTTGTCTCTCTCATGGCCTTGTACAATACTTTTGATCAATCTGCCATCACATTGGAATCAATCTATTCTACACTCTAGTCTATGTAGCAACTGAAAACTGTAAACAAAACTAACAACATAAACACTAAGTTTGTAAACTTTGTATTGTCTAAAGAAATGCATGTGATCTTTTGGGGTGGGCCCGAACTTATACTACATATGTACTCGGACTTTATGACCATTTACAATTATATCTAGGTAAAATTAATCAGCTTTCAAAGCTTACATACACAAATTCTAGAGGTACTCTTTCTTTTCCACTGGAAAAATATTTTTACTGGTGCTAAATAATCACAATCTCATAATGATGAATGTATTTGGATCTCCAAAAATAATTCAAAATATTAAAAGTGTAGTTCAAAGTCACAAAATGTGAGCAGAATGGTAATGTCTTTGCAGGATATTAATTTTCAATAGTACACAAATTGTTTGCCTAGAGGCGGAAATTAAGATTTAGTTTTTCAGTGCTCATTTCAGTGCCAGTCAAAATAGACCTTTTTATCTTTGTTTGCTGTGCACATCTTGGACCATGTGATGCAACTATTGGGAGTTCATTTTTTCATGTGTAAAATAATATTTTATCATTCTCATTTAAAGAACCATTCTCAGGGTAATGTCAAGTCTGAAATGGGCATACGAAGGTAAAGAGAGGTCTATTAATAAGATAATGACTGATTTGTTGAAAAATGGCACCCAAAACCAATTTTTAGCACACTACCGAAAACTTTTTTAACAGTTGAAATGTTATTGCTATTATGATTATAATTATTAGTAACTACCAAGACGTTCATATAATATTGAAAATTGCTGAAATGCAGGGACATATTACCAGACGTGGACTAATGGGCTTATAACCTTTTAGATGGTGGAGTGAACAGTGATTATGAGAAGATATATAACCTGGGTCCAGTGGTGCGAAGCCTGGATAGCGCATGAAAAATAAAATAAATATCTTTATTCAAGTGTCTAGTGCTTTTGCACAAATTGGGGACACTTTTCACTTGCACACCACCACATTCAATGTTCTAGATATTAAGTCAATGCTGTTATCCGATACATTTATCCACTATGTAAGATTTATCCATCAGCGTTATCCAATCCTTCATACAACCGGGCCCTGAAGTTTACTGCACATATTGCACCGATAGAAGTCAGATCAGCTCTGGACTATACACACAATACCTGACACTACACCTAATCAGCTAGTGCCAATGAATGTATTTTTATGTCTGAGACAAAAAAATAAGTATAACAAATAACTATTTTCAAAATACAAATAATGCAATGTTATGTTGGGCAATTTTAGTCAGATTTTAGTAAATTACAGATTTCTTGATAAATCTTTGTACAAATTCTATCACAAGATAATATTATAATATTACTACTTTAGATTTGATTTAGTACACACTTTATTATAGTCAAGCAAAGCACCAACAATTTGTTTCCAAAATACAATGACCACTGTCAAAAATGTCCTGGCTGGCCATAACAGCTTAGGTACTTTTGGACAAAAAGTAAGGATAAACACCGACTGCTTGAAATTGTCTTGCTCATGGCTGTCTGTGACACTTTTGACAACTTCATTCATCGCAATATGGAATCCATCTATACAAGCAGTGCTTTGGCCATACCACTATACTTCTGCATCATTCTAACTTACAGCATAATATCTACAACTTGCTACCAATTTAAATACAGATATTTGTAAAAAAAGGTTGATGCAATTAAGTTTTATTGCATGTTGCCTGCATTTTGCATGTAAATATTGATATTGTATGATATTCATATGTAATTAATAATGTTAGCACAGAAGAAATTATATAACCAAAGGTGCAGACAAAGTTGAGGAAATTTCTTATTGTTGTGACCTTACACTTATTGAACTCACATCGCCCATAACACCTCTTGTGCTTGATATGAAACATGCTACAAAACCTTCAGCAACCCTTTTTGAAATAGCTGTAACTTGATATTCATCTACTTGCAATCAAATGATCAGAATTTATTGCCAGAGTGTTGTTGTTATCTAGTCTTCATTATTGTCCTGTAAGGGTTTGATTATCCATTCAGCAGAAGGATTTACTTTATAGAGAGCTTTCATGTTAGTGTCGTGGTCCAGCCTTCGCTCCCCTTTAACATGGAATATAAACATACACACATTAAGTCAAAAAACGTATATTCAAGACCTCAGCCACTTAGCCACAGTTTTTCCCTATTTGGACCTCCTAGCTGGTAAATAAATGCAATATATCTTTAGTTTTCTTACCTATATTTCCTCCTACTTCGTACAAGTAATGATTATCCTGTGCAAACTTGTTCTCGCCCTGAGGGTTGACACAGTTGCGATATTCATGTGACAGATCTTGCCGCCGAGAATGAACTGTACTGCTGCCTTCGGGTCTTCGTTTGAACTTGTCAACAACATCACCAGCAGTCATTCCATTCACCAGTTGGATTACCATGGCAAACTTGTTTAGCATTGGGGCTTTTACTCTGATGATGTTGTTGGCTAGGTCAGCCTATACAAAAAAATATATATTGAGAATGGACAACAACAACAACTACAACAGCAGCAACAACAACAGCAACAACAGCAGAAGCAGCAACAATAACAGCAGAAGCAGCAACAACGACAGCAGCAACAACAGCAACAACAACAACAACAACAACAATAACAGCAGCAGCAGAAGAGCAATAACAGCAGCAACAAAAGCAGCAGAAGCAACAAATGCAGCAGCAACAGCTGCAACAACAAAAAACAAAACAATCAATAGAAACAATAGAGCGGATGCAATTAAACTGTGAAATTAAATCAAACTAAATACTAACTAATAGTATCTATTTAGTGACAACTAACCAGAACATTTATTAAACAAAAGATGCAAATGGTCTTTTGTGTATTTGTCTTTGTATGATAAATGTTCTGGTTGAGTGATAGCAACTATTAGTTATTAAATAGATACTATTAGTTAGTATTTAGTTTGATTTTATTTCACGGTTTAATTGCATTCATTCTATCCAACAACAATAACAGCAACAAAGTAACCAAACTTGCAACATTGCTGGTTCATTACCTCTAGTACATCTGCAGGAATTGCATCAGTAATAGAGTGTTTCTTCTGAGGTGAATTACTACTGGCTTCTTTCCCTTTTTTTGATATCAACTTCCGCACCTAACAATAACAAAACACAGTCAATCTTTTTTTGTTTCTTGCCTATTTTTTGCCATTGGTTGTTACACTTTGTGAAAACCTTTTTCTTTTCTTTTTTAATTCTTTTAAAATGGTAAAAAAATAACAAGCTTTATCGTATTATTGGGTGAAAGAAGGATTGGTGTGGGGCATAAGTGGATTGACAGGGCATTGGCATAAGGGGATCGACAGGGCATTGGCACAGTAAAATTCCTACAGCCCAAACCCCCCCTCCTCCTCCCAAGTCCCCCCTCTAGTCAGGTTGCTAAGTGCAAAATTTTGGTCAGATCTATACACAGCGGACAAAAGCACCAAAATTTGCATAAATGTAGATTAGAATATGGTAAGYAATATTAGGACCGGTGCCCATTTCAATCTCTTCAGGATTCCATATTAATTGGACTTTAATTTTCTGAAAAAAGTCAGTTATGGGCTCCCTGTGGTCAATATCTTAAAAATGTGGTTTTTGGCCGATATCCTTTTCAAAATTCATATTTTTGATTCCAAATAGCTAGTACTGTTTGCTATTATCATTTCCATTAATAAATATATTTCAAACATCGAAATAATGGCGAGTTTTCAAATAAATACTTATCAAGCTGGTACCCAGTTCTCAACTCGGTCATCCAAGATAATAGACAAAAAAATACCCATTTTCTTCTAAACGTATGACGATTTTTACATATTTCCCCATTTTCAATACTTTTAAACTTCCATACCTATAGTTTATGCAATTGAATACTATCTTGTATGACATGTATCTCCGATTCAAGGGAATCTCAAACAGATATTCCTAGCTTACACAAACGCCAAATTTCTTTCATTAATGTGTGTTACTCCCATTGCATTGACACTTGCAAAGAGGAGTGCAGTCTAGGCCAGCCTTCACACATTTACATCTGGGACACTGCTACTTCATGCACACTTTAGTAAATAGGCAGCCAAATTGATCAGGAGAAGGAATATCCTGGTTGCTTATGTCACTCGTCCAGATACCTGCCTGGAGGATAACTTACTGAAGCTCTCTTAATATACTGCAATAGTGCATTCTAGAGACAAAAACGTTGGCATTAACAACGGTTATATTTCTAATTATATTATTTTAAATTGTCTTACCTGAGTAGTAGTAATATTGCCAATTGCTCTGTTGTGTCTAAAAAATAGATCCATTCTTACATTGATGGAGCTCAAGGGGCTTGACTTATCGTACATGACGACAGTCATTCTTTCAAGCTCATAGAAGTGGATTGAATCTGAGGTCAGCTGCTGAAATAGATGTATAGCAAGGAACTCCAAAGTTGGTGTCACATTGTCGTTACATTAAGTACCCAAGTGCGGGTACCCAAGCCTGCCAGGCAGACCGTTTGCCTTCCATAGAATGAAGACGTAGTGTCGCAGCCGGTAATAGCGTGGAAAACAGGGAGGGAGCGCGACTTCTGTTCACCAAGGGAAGCACAAATCCTGTTAATGCTAAGAACTTGAAGTTTCTTCCCATTCCAARGGCTACCCAGATATCCACGTCTGAATTGACGGATTTCATGTCATGGAACTTCCCAACAAGAATCACCAYGACATCTGTATCCACAGTTCTGACAAGAGTGGTGACGTTATCTTCAGTGTTCAATGAATAACGCATTTCTACGCTATTACCGGCTGCGACACTACATCTGCATTCTGTGGAAAAGGCAAATGGTCTGCCTGGCAGGCTTGGGTACCCCGGGGAGGCACTTCCATAAGCTTGAAAGAATGACTGTCGTCATGTACGATAAGTGGAGCCCCTTCAGCTCCATCAATGATTTGAGAATGGATCTGTTTTTTAGACACAACAGAGCAATAGGCAATACTCCTACTACTCAGATAAGAGAAATATAACCGATGTAATGCCAACGTTTTTGTCTCTAGAATGCACCATTGCAGCATATTAAGAGAGTTATCCTCCAGGAAGGTATCTGGACGAGTGACATAATCAACCAGGATATTCCTTCTCCTTATCAATTTGGCTGGTACAAGATTGACGACKTGTGGACGCCTGTTTAAATGACCATTGCAGAGGTGTCAACGGCTTGCCAGGAATTACTCAAGTGTGCATGAAGTAGCAGTGTCCCAGATGTAAATGTGTGAAGGCTGGCCTAGACTGCACTCCTCTTTGCAAGTGTCAATGCAATGGGAGTAACACACATTAATGAAAGAAATTTGGCGTTTGTGTAAGCTAGGAATATCTGTTTGAGATTCCCTTGAATCGAAGATACGTCATACAAGATAGTATTCAATTGCATAAACTATAGGTATGGAAGTTTAAAAGTATTGAAAATGGGGAAATATGTAAAAATCGCCATACGTTTAGAAGAAAATGGGTATTTTTTTGTCTATTATCTTGGATGACCGAGTTGAGAACTGGGTACCAGCTTGATAAGTATTTATTTGAAAACTCGCCATTATTTCGATGTTTGAAATATATTTATTAATGGAAATGATAATAGCAAACAGTACTAGCTATTTGGAATCAAAAATATGAATTTTGAAAAGGATATCGGCCAAAAACCACATTTTTAAGATATTGACCACAGGGAGCCCATAACTGACTTTTTTCAGAAAATTAAMGTCCAATTAATATGGAATCCTGAAGAGATTGAAATGGGCACCGGTCCTAATATTACTTACCATATTCTAATCTACATTTATGCAAATTTTGGTGCTTTTGTCCGCTATGTATAGATCTGACCACTTAGCCACCTGACTACTCTCCTCCCAAGTCCCCCTTCTCCTTCCAAGTCCCCCCTCTCCTCCCAAGTCCTCCCTCTCCTCCCAAGTCCCCCCTCTCCTCCCAAGTCCCCCCTCTACTTCCTCCCTCAGATCTCATAAATTATGATAAATTATGAACAATGTTAGTAATAAATTTTAATAAATTTGAAACCTACTGCTTTGGTATCTTTTATTTTTTTGGTTCCTTCAGCTTCATATAAGTAACGTACTTGCATCACCATGAAACCAGGAATCTGGTTGGACAAAATAAAATGAGGCACTATTTATGTATTACCAGGAATCTGGCACAGGGAGCCCAGAGCAACAATGTTTAAAAAAAAATCTATCATGTTCTTAATCAATGGTGTTTCACACTTCTCAAAAAAGCTTGAGCATTCAGATTCTTGCACGGAGGCATTTCTTTCGTGTTTTGTTAAATAGAGTAGCGTTATAAGCTACCTGTAGAACATAAAGCCAAGGGAATTTTGTCCTATCGATGCCACGAGTAAGGAGGGATGGAAGCAGAAGAAAAACCATAGTGCCGGAATTGAGCACAATCGTTTGGTTTGCATTTTACTTCTTATTCACTGCTTCGATGCTTAGTCAAAACTATTATACTTTTAATTGCATATCGTTTTCCTTCTGTGTATGTTTATTCGAGAAAAGGTCGTTATTAAACTTTTTCAGTTTAAGACTGAAAAAACCTTTGGCTGCTAAAACTTGACATATACAGAAAAGGGGGAGTAATGGGTAGTGAAAGAAACAACCATATCATACCGTCCATAGTATATTCTGATATTTGATAAGCATCCTGACAATGTTCACAGTTCCCTGTGCCATTCTGATCTCTTGGAGATCATTCTGAGACTTGAAGAGAAACAGGTTTGGCGCCATGATCATGGCCACGTTGTTAGGTGACATCTTGTTGTATTCTTCATGTAAAGTTACTTGTTTCAGGAACGAAAGCAATATCTAGATAGTTGGAAAACAATATCAATTATTTTACTAAAGAAAAATGTAAATCTACTGACCAGTTACATACGTCTTTATGGCAAAATGCTTTCCCATTTCAGACCACATGGAGAGGGCAGAAAAACGACAAGCCTGCTACTTTATGATTTTTTTATTTAACTGAGTTTAATACTCCAAATTTTTAATTGTTTCATTTGTTCACTGCTGCTTGAAATTTGTGACAAAATTTTGTCGAATTTGAGTAAATCTACTTAATGTAAAACCACGAAAATGTCAGTTTTTCTGCTGATCAAAATATCACCTCTCCCAAAGTACACGGCTTTATATCTCGAATATGCATTCAATAAATTTTGGTCGCATTTGATATTTGCTATTTGGCTCCAAAAGATCGTGTTTACAAAAAAATATTGAGCTTAAATACCTAAAGCTGTCCTTATGGCGAAAGGCCAAAAACCGTTTTTCTGCCCTGTCAACCACATGTCATTCCCTAAAGTATGATTTCTATCTTTAACTGTTACACAAGAGAAGACACATGAATATGGATACGTCTGAAACAAAGCCTTTCATTCTCAAGAGAATGACACATGGTATGAAATGGGAAACCATTATGCCAAAGGTCATCAACTAGGTCTATATCAAAGCTACATTTACAAGAAAAGTGGCTAGGTACTTAGAATCCAATTCCAAACTAGGTTCATGTTGAGTGGTTTCATCTATTTTAAAATAATTAAATTTTTAGATGCAATCAATGAACCCCAGCATAAGGACATGTCAAACTATAGCATATGACGTGAGGAATCAAGACAGAAAGGAAGGAAAATATAAGAGGCTATTAAATCACTCACTCTAAGGCAGTCTCTGTGTACCGACGGTAACAATAGGATTAACAGATTTAATGCTTGCAGCTGTTGTTTTCTATCTGGTATACCTACCAACAAACAATTCATTAATTATTTAACTAGGACCAATTATAATAAAATAAACAAAAATAAAATAAATATATTATCTTTATTTAAGTGTCTAGTCGTTCTAGCGCTTTCACACTAATTGGGGATACTTTTCGCTCACACGCACTACCACTACATTCAATATTCTATGCACACAACACTCAACTCACATGTTGATTTTTACGGAGGGAGGAAACCGGAGAACCTGGAGAAAACCCTCGTAGCATAGGAGAGAACAACACATCAAACAAACTCAATTTACATGTGATGACCACAGGGCTCGAACCAGCGACCTGACCCGTTGGACTCACAGTGGTGAAAGACATGAACTATACCCATGCTACCCATGGAGTAGTAACTGAGAATGCTCGCCTCTCACAACTGCAACCCAGGTTTGATTCCCAGACTAGGTGTCATATGTAAAACAAGTTGCTTGTTGATTCTCTTTCTTGCTTCAAGGGTTTTTCTCCTGTAAATTGGAATCTGATCAACAAACCTATAATAATTACTATGTCCATTATATCCAGTTCACTTACTCTCTACAGATGCAAAAGTTGGTTGATATTCATGTGTCAACAGAGGGAAAGGTAGTTCTCTGCAAAACATAAGTCAACAACAAAAATAGAAAATTAGTTCTAATTAATCAGACTATAAGACTGAGATACAGACCTTAGATACACCCTACATTTCAGAGTTTGATGAATATTGATAGTTTCTGTAAAATATTTTTTAAGAACTTTTCTGAATTATTTTTACATGGCCCTTAAACAGGACATTTTTATAAATTGTCTATTTAGCTTATAACATTTGGGCTGCCCCCCCCCCCCCTTAGATGTCATCCCACCACCCTTCACCCCCCTCAATTCCAATAAAAACTTTACCCTATTGACTGGGCACGACTCTGACTACTTCTGAAGGTAACCAATCACATTGCTCCATATAAGATAACTAATTCATTTCCTGCTCACCTTAGAAATGTCTTTAGTAGTGATACAATATCATGGGGTCTTTGTCCTTCCCAGTTGAAATGTCCTTCATTAAATGTTTCCTCTATTTCTTCCTTTAAAGCCTGGATAATGAAAAACAGCTCACAGTTACATTCAAAGAGTCAACAATACCATTATTATAATATATGCAAAGTTGTTGCTGTTGATCATGATCATATTGTTGCTCCCGATGTTGCAGTTTATGTTATCATTGTTACTATCGTCATTATTAATTACTGGTGCAGTTGAAGTAGGTGTTGTTGTTGTTGTTGTTAATATTGCTGTTGTTGATACCATTGTGGCATTATTACTGGTGCAGTTAAAGTAGGTGTTGTTGATGTTGTTGTGAGTGTTGCTGGTCTTGATACCATTGTGAAATTACTACTGGTGCAGTTGAAGTAAGTGCTGTTGATGCTCTTGTCGTTACTATTGTCATGGTTATTACTAGACAGTTAAGCAAGGTGTTATTGTTGCTGCTGTTATACAACAAACCTTTATTCTGGTAGTAGAGCCTGAAACTCTAAGAATGCCTTCTTCTTTTAAACCTATCAAATAAAACACTGACTGAATTAATATATTCATCCTCTAATCCTCTTTAATCTTTAATTCAGTCCAAAATCTCCCTTCAAGATATCATATTTTTTTAAATTAGTTTTTTGATTGACGGTCATTGAAATGCTAGTCACACGGGTGGATCCAGGGGGAGGGTCGGGGGTCGCGACCCCCCTGTCATTCCTGAGGTCAAATGGGCTTCCTGTGGTAAAAATGCGACTGGGATTCCTTTGCCCACGAAATTTACCCCTGAGACCCCCCCTTCAAAAAATTCTGGATCCGCCCTTGAGTCATCAACATGACATCAAACTTCACAGGTTGTACTCCATTGATAATGGTAGTAAACAAAAACAGCTTTTATACACCTTTAAAACTATTAATAGTCCTTACCATATCTATCTAAGTAGCAGATAACCTGTGAAAATATTTAAAATTATATCATGAATATTAAGAAGATAATAATTCATTCATTTATTCCTCAAGTCTTAGAGTCCTTGTTCTTGCAAAGCCTAGACCTTGGTATCTACAGCAGAGCACTAGTCAGTGATCCAGTTAAACAAAGATAAATTACAACAATATATGGTTGTATACTGGAAGGGGATAATGGTCATTTTGTTCCATAATACTAAGCCTTAATATGTGCATAGATGGACCAAATCAACATGGATCAAAACGACCAGACAAGTTACGATAATTTGCAAGGTTTTCACAATATTCTTTGCATTGGTTAATTAGTAAAGTGTTGGTATACTGGCAGAAGTGGATAGACAACTGCCTAGTGACTACAAAATTACCATGTCTTCATTACCAGCATTGAGTGAATGTACTGGATGTATTACATAAACCTACCTCTTTTAAAAATATAGGTATTCTAGTATGATATCCCCTTGATCTATCATGCTGTAGCATGTACTGTAACGGTACACCAAAGATACCAGTTTCTGTCAGAAAAATATTTACAAATTTTATTACAGAAAGATAGCTACAAAAGAGTTCAATTAGTCCCTGTGACCTCCAGGTCACCACAACAAGGTTTAGAAGCACAACTAACAATTTACTGGTCAAAATAACCGGCAAGAAAAAAATTTGGTCAGACAAGTTAAAATTCTGGCCAGCCATTTTCTGATGACATGACGGGCAAATTATATTTTGGCCCATATACCAAAACTGTATTTCAATCTCTTGCTGCTCAAGACTGTAGAAATCTGTTAGACTCTTGTTATAAAACACGTACGCCTCATTGTGTATTCCAGAAAATATCAATACCCCACCCAAAGAGGAAATTGGAAATTTTGGAGTGGGGGGTGGGGGTTATCAGAGAAAGAACGAAATTGCAGAGAATAGGAAGAAAATTGAACGTTCCTGGTGTTAGGGCCCTTTTATAAATTTTCTCTGGGGTGGGGGTATGGATATTTTCTGGAACTACACAATCATTAAAGAAATCTAGATATTGTAATGCAGCTGACCTTTGACCTTTTTCTTGATAGGTTTTCTTCTATGAAATGGAAGTGAATGGGAATCAAAGAGAGCTGTTAATTCAATCAGAGCAAGTGACCTAACTTTCTCCATATCCTGCTTGCTGAAGTCTGATATCTGTGTAACACCCAGCTCATCTTTCATTAGAGTAAAATTCTAAAAAAAAACAACCAAGACTGTATTTACTAGTTTACACTCTGCCCCCAATTAAATGCCACGCTGAGTCCAAAACAATTTATAAGCATTGCCCTTGAATAAGCGCTGCCCCCAAATTAACGCTGCACATGAGACCCAAAATGCAATAAGCGCACAGCACTTAAGCAAGTGAATATAGTATTTCATATTTTTAATTGTATTCACTTTATATCAAATCATTGGTTACACATTATGTATATGGAAAACACTTTTTTTTTCAATTAAGTGCTGCCCTTGAATAAGTGCTACCCCTGCATTAACACTGCAAAAATTGAATACCAAGTGCAGCGGTACTAAACAAGTAAATATGGTAAAGCAAGCTCAATGGTTTTATGGCAGCCTAATGGTTTTGGGTGGGGTACTCTTTCTTCTCGTAGGGTTAGGGGGGAAGGGAGGTGTTCCAAAATAGAGGAACAAAATTTAAATTAAGTTACTAATCTTACTTTATCTTCAACAATTATTCAAATTATTAATATACTCACCAGTAATTTTGGAAATTGTGGTAGTTTAAATCTGTCTTTACGAGGATTTGCTTGTCCATTCTAAAATTATTCAAAATAAATAGCATTAATGCTTTATTTCAAAAAAAACTGATCACACTAGATCTAACTTTGTTGCTATTCAAAACCTGCCAATCGGCTGGCAGAGTCAATGAGGGACCTGAAATGACATTTAATAGTTATACAAACTAGAGAGAGAGGGGAATAGCCTAGCAATAAGCCAGTTCATAGTTTAAGAATCGCTTTCAGTGTGAATGCGATTTTATCCCAAATTACTCACCATCTTTTGTTTAAACCTTCTTTAATTCTTAATTAAACAAAAGAATTAAGGTGAGAAATTCGTGATAAAATCGCATGCACACAGAAAACAATTCTTAAACTATGAGATGATGGAATAAATAACAATATAGTTATCTTTCTTCTGATTGGTTAACAACTAAAGTATAGCAACTGGGGTACATGTTAAAGGTGCAGTGGTTGCTTACAACCCTCCCTTAGATGAGCTGATAGCTACTGCATTATTGATGCACTACTGATGCTTGAGTAAATGAACATCCTGACCATAGGTGTACGCCATTCTAAAACTAATTCTGGATCTGGGGCACTGACAGGGCTCCAAACAGCCGCCTGCCAGTGGCCAAATGACAGGACAAATTTCAGGTTTGCCTGGCGAAAATAAGGATGCACTGCCCAAAGAATAATAAAATGACATGCAAAATTTACTGGAATGACCTCCTTTTACCATGCTCCTTTACTATGGCAGGCTAAAAAAATTTTCTATTTTGAGCCCTGCCTGAGCAATGTGTAGTTCCAGAAATCATCCATACCCACCCCACAGAGGAATTTGGAATTTTCGAAAATTACAGAGTTTGTATGGAAGAAAATTGGAATTTCCTGGGGGTAGGGGGGTGTCTTAAAAAAATTCCTCCCTGAGGGGGGTATGGATAATTTTTGGAACTACACAATACTGGTAATCATTAGATACTATACATATGGTACTTACAATCTTAGGTGAAAGATTAACATCAGGAACATCTATGGCATTTTCATGTATTGTATCCTGTTCTGTCTCTGGTGTTGATGGTGTAGACACACTCAAATCCTTGATATTAAGTCTAGAGTCTTCTACATCATCAACTACCGACTCTTTGGTTTTCTCTGCGGCATTAAACATCTCTTGTTTGGAGAGACCAGTGACGTAGAAAACAGAGCCATGACGAAGTTTACCCTGCTGAACACCTGATGAGTAATAAAGAGTATTTTATAGATACCCCAAAACAACATCAGTGGCGCAACCAACTCACAGATCGAAACTGGAGTTTGACTTTCTCTTGAGAGCTTAAAAAAAGACACTTAAATTAAAAGAATTAAGAGAGGTAGAGATCTAACAAACTCTACTCCCATGTGATACAGGGTCCAGAAATCCAACCCGTGTAATACTGCACTATTATACTGCTATTATGACACTCCAGTGATCTTACAACACTTAAGGTGCTAACACACGGTACAACACTGCATGCAACATTGCAAGAAAATTACCCAACATTTCTTGTGTTAGCCTGCTATGTTAAGATATTTGGTCAGCAGTTATAAATTTGGTGCAAGCTGATTGGCTGGAAATTTCAAAATGTCGTAGGTAATGTTGCAGCCATGTTCACAGGATGAAATTGTTGCGTGCAATTTTGCAAGAGTAGAGCGCAATTCAACTTCACATTTGTTGCATGAAATGTTGCGTACATCCAAGAAGATAAATAAACAAGACAATAAACCAAGAAGAAGTAAATAATTCAACATGAAAATGGCACATGCAACAGAGGAAAACAGTCTATAACTCAATAGACCATTCAGGTTCAAAGATGGATCAAATGTTATGTACATAACACATGCATATTAACTTATAGTATTTAGCAATTTTAGGGTTCAAACACATATATTTTATGTATTACCCATTCTAGCACCATCAATTGTTATACACACAATAATTACGTGAATTCCACACATTAATTTGACATAATCTGAAATAGTGGCAGACATAGAAATGACATCACTGCAAAACTTAAGGCGTCATGAAGCTTGACCAGCAAAAAATAATAACATGCCTGTCATTGCAATAAACTATAAAATTCGTTAACTATTATGTCATCGACTTTTATACAGCAATTATTTGCAATATTATTTTTATTTATTTGGTCCACAATTTCAAGAAGAAAAGTGGCTTTTTTTTTCAAATCAGCTGGGAGTTTTTCATAATGCACCATCTATAAATCTCATAACCCAGGTTCGATTTCAGTATGCGAGTACCTAGACTTGCTTAGACTCCTGGCTTTGAGGGTTTTTCTCTGGGTACTACAGTTCCTCTCCCTCTGCAAAAACCAACTTCTAAATTGCAAACAGATTTCAGCATGCAATGAGCCACTCTGTAAAGAAGCCATTGCTAAACACCATTATTTATTTAATTATTTATGCCATGCATTTTTAGCGTTTATTTATACCTGAATGAACTTTTATTTCCTCACTCCCTCTCCGTTCTGCATGAGGATGGAAAGGTCTACCAGCCTTGTCTCTATTTTCTCTCGTTTGATGCTCGCCATTAATATCATCACCTAATGAGGAATATTTCCCAGCAATACCATAGTTGCAGGACTGATCGCTTGCTATACCTGGTTTCACTAAGTTGACGCCTTCACTGACAGCTCTTCGTGGTAACAAAGGCCTAGGAAGTGCTGGAATATTGTTTCCCACATGACTCCAAGACCCTGAGGTGCTTGCATTCTGTCTAGCATTAGGTACTGGGGTTTGCGATGCCGTGGCATAAATTACATTTGAACTAGAATCAGTTTGTGTATCAGAAGTTGTCTCAGTTTCTGAGCCAAGGCTTGTATTACTAGGTAATCCTTTAGTTTGAACAGGGAAAATAGTTCTAACATCGGCATGTTTTGAAGGATGTAATGGCGTTGCATTGACAGAAATACCCAGTTTTTTCTTAGTATTGTCATTTAGGGTGTTGATTCTTCTTTTCACTGCCTCTGCTTGTTTCCTTGTTAGGGATGAAGTAATATCCTTGACGTCTAGATCTTCAGGGTCTATCTCTTTACTGTCTGTTGTCAAAAGCAAGCAAAGTATGAGAACTATAACACATACAGACTGACTTTGATGGGCTCCCTGTGTAATTGTTACAGGCTTGCCATAGGAAGCCCAATATTGGCTTATAGAGGCTTACATTTCTGATGCAGGACTTCTTTCATTTTCTACTTGGAAGCTCAAAAAGGTAAGCAAATATCAGACCTTTTTCTGTTTGTTATTAGTTTTCTTCTTTTAAATTTCCCATTACCCTGATTATTTCTTTCTTCACTGGTAACATTTTGAATCAAATATTTGCATTTATGTAGTGGATAATATATGTACTAATAAATACACAGAGCTCTAACAGCCTTTCCAGGGGAGAAACTCAAAAGCTTCAGCATCAAGCTGTATACCATTCCAATATTTATCTATGATTGATTATCCAATATATTCTTTGTCTTTATACCTCTGTATTTTTTGACAAGTTCATCAAATCCTGCTTCTTTAAGCCACTCGACTTCTTGCTCACATAAATCTGAAAAATACAAATTTAATATTTATTAATACATCATGCTTCACAAGTTTTCCCTCTTTAACCTTTCTTAATCTCTAGTGGATAGTGAGTAACAATCTACTGTTAGATAAATTTAATGAAACTGAAAGACAAAATTCTAAAAAGTTTCTGAAATTTCGTCTCAACAGTGTTTGAACAATTTCCTTGTTTTTTTAATCTTATGTACAGCAATTATTCTAATTTAATTATTATTATTGTATATGATAGCAAGAAAATTAAATTATTTAAAGGGTGAGACAACAAAGTTATTAGTTTTAATTCAAGGTAATGAAAAAATTTCAGCATACAATTCACAGGTACCGGTTCTCGTAAGAATAAGAATAAGAATAAGAATAAGAAT